CAATTGGCGACTGTCCAACAGATATATTGGTGAACGTCTACTGAACTTTCAGCAATTGGCGACTGTCCAACAGATATATTGGTGAACGTCTACTGAACTTTCAGCAATTGGCGAATTTCCAAGAGATATACTGACGAATATCCATTACGTATACTGACGAGAGTCGAATAGATTTTTATTCGTTCAAGTGAGACATTTATATTCTCCATGATATATGGAAATCACACTTAGTATTTTATAAATGTACTGTGAATCATTCGGGTGGGGATGTGGGTGTGTGTGGGATGTGAGTGTGGATCTTTATTGAAATAAGAGTCCCACACCCACAATTTTCTTAGCGTGTATTTGTTACTTATCCCTCCGATCAGTACCAATATCATTTTTCAATCGCCTAATATCTGAAGGATTTACCGGCACAAACCCAGTGGAAATTCGCCAATTGGCTAAAGTGAGGACAGTAAACTGGCGAAAGATCAATGGACACTCGCCAAATGGCGAATGTCAGGAAGGTGCATTGGCGAAAGTACAGTGAACTTTCGTCAATGGCGAAAGTCTTATTGGCGAACTTCCGGTAACCCCTAAATATATGCACAGACTTTTTCATTTTTTATCCTCTTATTTCAGAATAGAAAGTATAGAGAAAAAAAGAAAATAAATGTGTTTTTTGTACCCAAGTTCTACTAATTTAACGTAAGTGAGATAAAAATGAGTCGAATTTCTGCTTCTTATTTCTTTAGTAAAGTAGTATGAAGGAGATGTTTTACATCTGTTCATGAGAGATTTGTTCGAAGTATTAATTAAATAATGACTTTGAAAAATTTTATTTTGTTCCAATCTTCATTCTTAGAAATTCATTATATGTACTTGCAGTATACAAATTCAAAATGAGGGTAAGAATGTGAGAGTTCTTCCATTGTTTTTGCGACCATTGATATAAAGCTTCATTGGATGCAATATGCGCTTCATTGATAGCATCCGAAGTAATTGTCTCACATGAAGAAGAAAAAACAATCAAAGTTGAAATACTTTCGATATTAAACTTTTCACCTAATATTTTTGAACGATCTCGATTTTGGACTCTAGTTTGGATAGCGCTAACTTTGGTTCACTTCATATGACCGCATGAAAGGTAGTTTGATCACACGATAGTTTTAATCGATCCACAGTTTAAGATTTGGAAATACTCTTTTTTTTGCACAAGGAAATTGCATGATTGATGAATTTTCTACAACTTGAGAGATTCATATTTTTAGACAGATGATAAAAAATATGCAGAATTATCATTTTTTTACTATCATATCAGCAAATAGCAATAGCAGCTCACTAGTAGCAGATATTTATTTTGAAAAGATGCCTCCGACATTGGAATTCTGACGAGAACATTCAAAATCTTGTACGTGTTGAAAGAATATTAGATAAACATTGCAGTATATTTTCTTGTTTATTTTAATATGTTATCAGTTGTATAAATAATAAAGAAGAGAAATACGTATTATAATGTAATATCTTACCATTGAATGTTTGAAGTCAGAGTGTGGGAGGGAAAAAAAAGAAAAGAAAAAAAATATATATGTGGGCACTATTCATCTCTGCGAAACATGGTATTTCGCCAAATTTTTTTATTTTTTTATTATTTCATGAACAGTGCATAAACCGTTTGATACTGCACATTTTTTTTTTCGATAGTCTTTCTGTTCTTGTTCTTTTTTCTTCTTCTCATGTTGCCTTTGTTGTTTCATTCTCTTATTCATATTCATTTCTTTCGTTCTTTTTATTTTTGTCACTACTAGTATCTACGATCCTAAAGCTCAATTGTTCCTTTAGGATCGACATGGTCATACAGTTAAAGAAGGCTAATAAATATCTTGCCATTGAATATCATTTTATAGCGCTTAAATAGACCATTTCTATAACAATGGCATTATTAATTTATTGATTGTGAATCTGTTTCCTTCTATTACTATTCTTTAGATGACATCAATGATACAAAAAGGTATATGTTCTGACCGTGTTCGTGGTCCATCATCAGTCAATGTTGATCTTCTCGAGTGTCCTATTTGTCATGATCTACTCTGGATACCAGTTGCCTGTCAAACATGTGAAACATCATTCTGTTCAACATGTATCGATCGGTGGCTTGCTGATAATCCAGAGAAATGTCCCAATCGATGTAAAACATATATCAAACGCAAATGTCCCTCATTCATTGTTAAGCTACTTGCTCAATTACAGCTTACTTGTTATTATCAATCACAAGGTTGTGAACAGGTAATCAGACAATGATCACATTATAAACACTACACTTGCATTTTTCTTCATAGGTCATTCCGTATGAGGCACTAGAGAAACATGAGCTCGATTGCAATTGTCAGCCTCAACAATGTCCTGGCTGTCGATTAGAAGTATTGAAAAAAGATTTTGATAATCATACAACTAGCTGTGCATCGTTTGAATTAACTTGTCAAGATTGTAAACTCATTTACAAAAGAGTTGATGCTGCTACGAAACATACAGAAAACATTTGTTTAAAAGAACAAATTAAAGAGAATAAACGCCAGATACGACAGCTCACTCTTCAAGTACATGAAATGCGCATATTGAGTAAGTGATTTACTATATTCTATTCTGAATGAAGATAATGAAAGAAGTATGAATTTAGTTCCTTTACTAGCAAGAGCAAGGATCACATTCAATGATTTATCCATGGCTGGTGACAAATCTCCATTGATTCCAGATGTATACAGAGGATTGAAATGGAATAAAATTCATTATGCATACAAATTCTACCTGAAGAAAACGTATCCGAAAAGTGGATATGTCACTTCTTTTACATCAGGCAAGAGTCCACACATAGCCTGGTTCTCGGAAAAAGCATCGATCAGCGTTGAAAACTCAAATGAAATTTTTACTTTTGTTTCTCTTACTGCATGTGCTGCTTGGAATGATGATATGCAATTAATCATTACAGGACATCTAAATTCAATGCCGATCAACACATATACAACAACACTTATCTTTGGTAGACCACAACATATACTTCTTAATTGGAAACACATAGATAAAGTCATTCTTCAAGCGTTGGGTGGCACTCGACGTCCAGAGACTGGTGCTGCGATAAGTAGAACACATGTTGTACTAACTCAGGTGACGATCCATTGAGTTGGTTACATAAAAACTGTTTCACGAGAAAATATCTTAAGTGAAGTTTTTTGGTCTTTTTTATTGATGTTCTTTACTGTCTATTTAATGATCGTTTTCTTTAATTATATGAAAAAAAAAATCACTATAATCGAACTTTTTTTTCTCAGTTTTTATCATTAATAAATAAGAAACAGTTTTAGTAAAACGTCTTATAAATATCAAGAACAAATATTAATATGAATGTGAATTATATAGTTTCTCTATTCTTTTGTGTAAAAAAGAGAAAATAGTACTTTTCAACTTCGGAACTTTGTTACGCAGAGTACAACGCTTACATTTCTGAATCTTATAGATATATATAAAAGTTGCAAGGAAATTTGTATCTATGTATGAATAGAGCTCTTGAGATCTGTATGATTATTTTTACTTTGACTTTTGGTTAAATAGAAATCTCTATGCAAAAAGTTCACTGTAGAAAAAACATCAACTTTATTGATCGTGACTATCCATTCGGAGATTTGGGGTGTGGGTGTGGATGAATAAGAGACTAACACATACCCACACCTACTCCTTTCACACACCCGATCAAGTCGGGATTCGTATTAACCAACAAGTGAGTACTTCTGTTTACATTGGCACTCATCTTTTTCTTTATTAGATAAGGTCACTTTTTACGATTGATAATACATTGACAATGTTTTATGTTCAACATTTTTGTAAATTACTCTGCAATCGATTACCTAATCTAAAACAACTTTCCTTTTCTATCACTAATTTAGATGATAATAGTATTTAGATACTATCACGTATTCTTGATGGTGACAATAAATCTACAAAATGTCTTATTGATGTTATACATTTTCTTGTTAATCATTTACAACAACTTGTTTTACTTTATATGTTTGTTCATTATCGGGTTTTGCCTGAAACACACTTTTTTTCCACATTTAATTCGACAACACTTGCATGTATGGCCACTTACAGCTTGACTATTCTGCTGTCTTTTTATTCTGATCAACTTAATTTTTCTCAGACAATATCAATCTTTAGTGCCTAGAACCTTATCTCAATATTTATTTTGATATATAATAAATAAAACATGGCACATATATGTGAAATTTTATATCCATCAGTCGGTACAGTTCGATTTTTTATCGATTTTGCCATATTTAGTATAGTTGAGGTTGCTCAATTTTTTGGGAAGACGTATGCATTTTAATCGAATGTTAGTAATTTTCATGGATGCATGCTTCTCTTACATTATATAGCAGAAAGAAATTATATTTTATTAGGATACTTGTTTTTCACTGCCAATTTCGCACATATTATTTCTAAAATTTAGATTTTTCGTTCTTGAATCGGTCAATTCTCTTTAATTGACAAAACTCAATTGACTTTATTCGTGAGTGTTATCACACAAGAAATCTATTGAATTTCAGTAATTTATCAAAAAATTATTATGAATACGATATTGAAGAAACATTATCTTGAGAACTAAGTAAATCATATATAATCAATAATATATTGTGTAAGACATTACTATTAATTCACCTAAAACTTTCATCACTGGATCATGTTTTGGAAATGGACTAGTGGAATGACACAGTTCGTCTGAGAACTGTGCAGTTTGCACTATTTACAGAATACAAAAAAAGTATCTCATATCTTCCGAATGACTATTCAATTTTTCAAAGTCCGAGTCCGAAAATTTTTGATCGACCAGGCTCTCACCACCAGATATAAAATCGGCATTGACTTAATCTCGAAAATATGTTCTACGTATAGCACTATACATCCCATTCTAAAATCTTGCAATGATTGATATTATTCAAGTATCTTTTATTAGAGTTTCAAAAAAAAAACAAATTTTTAAAGTTATTCGAATTTTTTTGTTTTGTACGAAGGCTGATTATTTTAAATTTTTCATAATTAATTTAATTAATGATGGAGAAAAATATGAATATATTGTAACAATAAACATATAAATTATAATAATAAATAATGATATAAATTTTGATGTATCAATTGTATTTATATTTAAATTAACAATTCCTGTTAATACATTAGCTAATAAAAATGTATCTAAACTTTTTTGATTAACATTTTTAATTAAAATTGATTCAGTTAAATAACCTTTTCTTAATAATAACCATTGTATTATACTAAAACATCCTAAACACATACAAGCTAAACCAGTTGTACTTGAAATATAAGATAAATTACATAATTTTCTTGATGGATTATAACTAATTGTACATAATATAATCATAAGAATAAAACATGTAATACCTATTTGTTGAAATTTTTGTTTATATTCATTATTAATTATAAATTTTCCAAGGGAAATTCCAATTAAATATAAACAAACATATCCACCTAATGAAAATATTCCTTCACGATTAGCATCAAGAAAATTTTTTCTTAAATTATTTGATAATATTAAATAATTATCATATTGAAAATATTTTAATAAAATAAATTCATGAAATATTAATATTAAAATAATTAATAATAATATATTTTTTGTTATTTTTAATAAACAATGTCCAATTAATTTCATAAAACATAATGTTAAAAAAAAATTCCAATGTATACCATATTCACTAATATGTTCAATATATGAAAAATATTTTATTGATATAAAACGTATTAAACCTAATAGAAATAATATTAAATTTTCAAGAAATAATTCTTTAAAATTTATTTCTTTATTTCGAACTTCTGAACTAACTGTACCATGTGCTATTGCAAATAGACCAACACCTAAATCCATTATTGAATAACCATAATTTTCTGTTTTAGCATATCGTCGTGGATATATAAAAAAATCAACTGCAAGAATAGATATACATGTTGAAATTAATATTTGACCACGAAATAATTCAATTATATAAGAATATGATTTATTATTATTAATTTGAATAGATTTTATTGTTGAATTTGTTTTTGTAAAATAAATTAAAAATCCTATTAACCAAAGAATAAAATGAAATAAATAACTTAATGATGATAATATTGTACAAATAAATATTAATGGAATTATAATAAGAAAATTTTCAAAAAGAAAATTATTTATTGAAAATTTTTTAATATTTGATAATGATATAAAAGATTTTAATATTTGACATAAGAAATATGTTGCACATGTATTTATCATCACAGAACCTACTTCATAAAGATTTGTACCATTTAAATTACTAAAAAATAATTCTTTTCGTTCACGATAATCAACCATTTTTATCTGAACAGTAAAACAAAATTTTTTACTTTAAAGAAACCTTACAATGAAAGGTTGTATATTGTAAGTTAAAGATATTGATCATTAAATGAATACTCTCATTGCCAAACGATCTATACCGTGTACGTATCGAGATATTCGAATTTCAAGGTATTTAAAATATATGTCATGTGGTTAGTAGGTCCCGTTGGACTAGTAGTTCCGCGTCCGAAAATTTTGAACCCAAAGGGTAATTTTGATTGGTTACGATTGACACCCAATACATGTTGAACAAAGAAACAAAAAAAAATAACTCTATTGGCTCATATGTTTCAGTCAATCTATATAACAGTCAAAGATTAATTTTTTTTTCCTCATTATAAATTATTTTTTTGATATATTAAAGTTCACATGGCTGAATCGTCTTCGTCAAGTCTAGTTTCGGTTAATTCACCATCAACATTTCCATTTTTTAAATGTACTTTTTTGGATAAAGATACAGGTAATAATAAAATTATTTTATTTCTATTTTTGATATTATTTTATTTTATAGATCTGAATGAAATACCAATATGGAATAATGATATTGCAATATTACTTTCATATTGGCTTCAACAAAGAGCTAGTAGCCATGATGATATTTTTGGAAGGTATATAATGACAAAATTTTTATACTAATAAAGACTGTAAAACAGTTTATTAGACAAAGATGTTTATCATATGCTTGTTGCATAAGATATTCATTATGAACTTCAATAAAAACTCTAAAAAGATAAGAATGTAGGATCCTAACTTTCTAGTAAAATCACAATCTTTGAATAAGTCTAAGTCTCAGTTACACTAGAACTTATGTAAAAAGTTTTGCAACATAGACATTTCAGAAAAGAGACTTCAAACTCTAGGGAAAGTAAACACGTATTTTTTG